AGGCAGACTGGTCTACTACCTGCACTCTTTCACTGTGCTGTGCCGCGTGCAGAACGGGGTTTGGTATCGTCTTGTTGGAATCTGGAGCAACGTCCCTAAGAAAGACGTGACTGGATGGCAGCATGTTGCTACAAAACCTTGATGTACCTTTCAGCATTAAAGGTAACCCAACAGATCTCCAGGTTACCCATCAGGCCATGGATGCAGCTGCTGATTAATCTTTAAACTACTTTTCACCTTGTTCTGAAGCTTCACATTCAGTCCTCAGGGGGCGCTAGCAGCTGTTTCCATTACGTTCTCAGCAGGAAGGAGGCCACTGAGGGCGAAGTGACCACAGCTCACACTCAACTTTCTAAACCCTGTTCAGAGATAATCATATGGAAATGTATTCAGCTGCTGGAGGATTAAACCTGGAGCTCCACGTCAGAGGAACGCTGCTTCATCTCGCTCTCCGACAGTCATCTGTTGGGTTTCCGTTCACGTCGTCTTCAGTGGAAACTAATTTTCTTGAACCGGCTCAGAAATGTTCCTGCTCAGGTCGTCTCATTGACACATTAACCCTCTCCAGACTGAAACCTCTGACTGATTTATTTGAACGCAGCTTACATTTTACCAGAACATTTAGAAATCCTCAGGTCAGAAGTCCAAACTTGAGAGCAACATCAATATGGGAACATAAGTTACTATGAGAGGGAAACCAGGTCCCAGTGACCCGATCAGAAACATGGAGCCTCCACCTGTAGGGAGGCTCTTCTGCTCAGTAATTACCTTACAGGTGTAACATCCAGGAGCCAATGTTGACCTTCAACCCTGGTCTTCCTTCATCAAGATTTCTGAATCTCTGAGGCCAGGAGAGACCCAGTTAAAGCCTGGGCCAATATCTCCCTCTTGGATCATTGGAGAAAAAATTCTTTAAAACCACCATTTTGCTTCAACTTCACAGATAAACTCTTATTTCTTTCATATTCCCATGAAGTTTCTGGTCATTAGGACCTTTGAAGGTCCATCGTCCCTCCTGGGAGTCCATGGAGAGTTCTCTCCATGGAACGACCCTGAAAAGCCTCCTGAACCACGTCAAAGGAAACAACCTGCCTCTAAAGGCTTTTCTCCATGGTCATGTCTCCCTCTGGCCAGTTACTGTCTGGTTTGGACGGGTCTGTCTCCACTGGCAGTGTGTTCCTCACTATGTGGGTGTGAATATGGGTGGGATTGTGGGAATGTGTGGGGTATGAGAGGAGTTGTGGTCGATGTTCTGATTATGTCGGTAAGGTCCCCACATACTGCAGTATACCGATTGCCTCGATTTTCATGACAGATTCCTTCATTTCCCACAATCCAACTGGATGCTAGCCAGGTTGATGAGCTAGTTGGGAGCCTCGCCTGTTTCTTGTCCAGGGTGCCGTACCAGCTTACAGTTCTGAACAGAGAATGGCAGTCACACTTTGCATCCTTACTGTAACTTGCTGTGCTGACTCAACATCATCACGTCAATGTCGCATACGAAACAGTTTGAGCAGTTTGCGGTCATAGAACTTTACCTTTGCATGGCCGTCCGGCGGACTTCTGAGAATTGAATTTAGCCTGAGCATATTGGGGTCGTTAGCATGTATTCCCTTGTGTGACCACTGCTAACTACAAACCTAGCTGCGCTAACGCTAAGGCCCTAATCTTAAACGTTAGTTCCATTAAGTCTGAATTGCTTGACCAATAAAGCAGAAGCTAATGCTAAAGCACTGAATTCAACCATGTTGACAGGGCTGGAAAATCATTTCAGGGGAAGCTAAGAGCGCTAAACCTTTCCAAAGTTAGTAGCTGAATGTCACCTCCACTCTGTATATTTGTTGTTGATGCTGTTTGCTCTTCCGTCATAATTGGTATAAATGTTTGAGCACAGAATCATCAGTCAATGAATCAACGAATGGATTGTACCTCCGCTGAGAGGTTCTGAAAAACAGAGGAACCGGGCAGGATCCGCCAACAGAGACGGATCTGGCCGGGACGGACCGGGTCAGAACCGGTTAAAGACACGGAGAAGAGCTCAAGCTTCTGTAAACATGAAGAAATGTCCGCAGCAGAAACATTTACCTCACAGACGGGTGTGTGAATGTTTATTATGGTTGCAATAAAATGTTTTCCTGGGAGCTAACTCTGTGATTAAATGTGTAAATCTGTGAGCTTCAGGCTTCAGTCTGAGTTATGTAAGCTGAAATGTTTCTTTCCTTTTATCTCCATCTATTATGGATAAGTTTTCAGGCTTCCTCTCCATCAGGGCTGGTGCCCCCCCATGCCCCCCGGCTCTCAGTGTGCTGCCAACCGAAGTATGAGAGGAAGAGGAGGAGGAAGAGGGAAACATTAACGGGAGGAGGAAGACGCAGAGGGAGGAGGCGGAGGAGCGTGTGGCCGGGATGAGAGTATTTATAGGAGGAGAGATGAGGCGGCGGCGAGGAGAGCCGGAGGATCCGACACAATAAGAGGAGACAAAGGAGGAAGAGGAGGAGGA